ACCCTTTTACACTGGCAGAGTGGTGTAAGCTGGACTTGGTGTGAATGAAAATCAGGCCCAGAAACATTAAGATTCTTAAATTGAAACAATGATCTTAGATTATTGTTGTTATTTTAAAAACAAGTCAAATTTGTGAAATCCTGAAAATGCTAAATTAAATTAAAATTTCAAAAATGAAAAGGTTTTTTGGGGGGAGGAGCTTAAGGGAGCATAAAATAAAGAGATCATGGAGTTTATTTCTTTGAGACTTAGCAGGAAAAGACAGAAAGGGGATAAGGTTGTTAGTAGAACTGGCTGGGAAATGATTGGGGTGGGGGTTTCCACTGAGAATATCAACTTTTTGTCAAAAAACTGAGAACCTGAAGACTTTTTTTTCTTTTGGTAACTGAGCCCAAAACATTTTGGCACAAAAAAAAATTTGGTTAAAAGTTTTTAGATTTAAAAAAAAATCAATCATTTTTGAGGAAAGCAAATACTTTTCCCAAAAATTTCTTTGCGTGAATTTTCTATCTGAAAAATTAACACTGAAAATTTTCCACTAATCCTAGTTGCTAGGAGTAAAACTGATATTGCTGTGATGAGAGGAGAAGGCAGCAAGATGTGATGGTGGATATGAGGATATGACCAGACGTCATCAGAAGCAAGGATGCAGAGGAAAAAGTGGAGATGAGGAACCTAAGGGCGTTAAGCACCCAAACCACACAGGAATTCAATGGGAGCCAGATAGCTAACTTCCTTAGGCTCCTTTGAAAATCCCAGTTGAGAACAGGATCTGTAAGAATGAGCTGAGGTGAGGCAGAATATGTACCTGTGCCCATCTAGCTGTGGGGAGCCAATAAAGCTCATGAGTAAAACAGGGGTGATGAGATGGCGGAGAGGTGGGGTGGAAAGAGGAGAAGATGGCTCAAGCAAGGGAGATGGCAGTGGGCAGGATTTGGAGAGAGACATGAGGAACAAGATACAGGGTCTAATATGTCAGCAATTAAAAGATAATCTCAATGATCAGTTAAAATAATATGTTGGGCATATCTAACTGGCAAGCAGGAGTATGGAATGGAAAATAACAAGTTGTGTCTACTTGAATCCTGTCTGCCATCCTAGAGCTCCCTATTCACTGGGGCTAAAATAAGCTTAATGAAACTGGATCACAAAGGCTTCTCCTCCCCTTGATCTGTATTCTGGCAGAACAGCCCACACCACTGACTTCTGTTGTTCTGGGTCCTGAGGCCAGGAGGCTAGCCCACGTTCTCCCTGAGCTAGATTTTCCCTTCCCTGGAGCTCCTGGCTGTGTTTGGTCATAGAGTCCATTATCAATTTTCAGTTGTATAAACATAGCTATGACAATGCAAACTAATTGACAAGAAATCTCTGTTACTTACAACATAAAGTCTTGTTCCCAGCAAGGTTCGCTTCCTTTTCTGTTTATTGTGGTGCTTTTTAGATTTTGGACTTTTAAAACAACATAGGTGTTAAATGTGTCTGAAACAGAAACAACAAACAAATTAACTACATGTTTCATTGTTTTGTGCTAGGAGCTGGGTGCATTGACTCGGGCTCGTGGGGTTCACACTATGGGGCTAAGAATAGCAGAGTAGACTTTCCCGCTTGGCTGGAGCCTGGGCTCTGAGACCCACCCTCCTTCACCAGGTTTCAGAGCCAAGGCTGTAGCCTGAGTGCGAACATCTACGCTGCTATGTTTAGCTCTGTAGTGAGGGCCCTCAAGTCCAAGTCAGTTGATCAAAGCAATGAGACTCGCAGCCACAGTATTTGTTTGTTTATTTTTGCATATTCTGAAAATATGGCTCTCTGTGTAGCAAAATAAGTTAAAACAAAACATTCCTAAAGCAGCTAGAGGTATGGATTGAGGTCTGGTGTCCACCTTATAAAATTTTCGTAAATTGTTTTTCTAGCAGGAGCATATTCGATAGGAAGTAGTTAGTTCTCTAATAGTTAGGTGTGTACAAAAGTGGTGCATTATTTACAGAAGGAGAAGCCTTCCTTGTTTAGGTGGCAGTAGCTACAAAACATCATGAGAAAAGCCCAGCTCCTCAAAGGTATTTAGGTGCCTAGCTCCCATTGAAATCAATGAGTAAATAAGTTGTACATGCATTTTTGCATGTGCAAAAATGGAGGCCACATCTGAAAATCTGCCCCACATTATGCATATTAGAGTAAATGTAACTTTGAGATATTTCCAAATCACGTTAAGTTATATTATATGACTGTCTACATTGCAATGAATGGAATGAAATCATAGAAGTACAAAAATAGGCACCAATGTAAATCTAAATGTGGTAGCAAAGTTGTTCCTTCCAATAAATGGTAAGATGCTTTTGGCTCAGTCCTCAGTTGCATCGCAGCAGAATTTGGTGCTGCTGTTGTGGGAGGATGCAAAGGTGGCTCTAAACCAGGGGTCTTAAACACGCGGCCCGTGGGGTTCTTTTGTGCGGCCCGCAAAGCTCCCTGTGCACCCCCCCCCCGCCTACCCCGTGTCGCCGCTCCCTGAAGTGGCTGAACTACTGTATGTCCCTGCAGCCCCGGGCAGGGGGGTGGGAGGCGAGTAGAGGGCTCAGTGCTCTTGCAGCTCCCATTGGCTGGGAACTGGGAACCGCGGCCAATGGGAGCTTTGGAGGAGATACCTGGAGGAGCAGCAAGAGCAGCACATGGTGCTGTTTCCCCTCCCCTCCCCCCCCCCCCCCCCCCCCCCCCAGGGACTGTGGCTGCTTCCTGGAGGGGAGCAGAGCGGAGCGGGGCCGGGGACCGGGCAGGCAAGCGTGAAGCCTGCCCTGGCCGTGGTGCGCGGCACTGCCACCCCGGATCCACTCTAGGTAAGTGGAGCCGGGCCGGAGCTCGTACCCCACACCCCTTCTGCACCCCAACTCCCTGCCCTGAGCCCCCTGCCACACCCTGCACCCCTCACCCCTCCTGCACCCCAACCCCCTGCCTGGAGCCCCCTGCCACACACTGCACCCCAATCCCCTGTTGCACCCCTCACCCCTCCTGCACCCAGGGCCGGCTCCAGGGTTTTTGCCGCCCCAAGCAGCAAAAAGAAGAAGGGTGGGGGGGGAAAAGGCTGCGATCGCGATCTGCGGCACTTCGGCTCTACCACCACCGCTTCAGTCTTCGGCAGCAATTCGGCGGCTGGTCCTTCGTTCCGAGAGGGAGGGACCCACCGCCGAATTGCCACCGATGAGCCGGACGTGCCGCCCCACTCCGTTGGCCACCCCAAGCACCTGCTTGCTGCGCTGGTGCCTGGAGCCGGCCCTGCCCGCACCCCAACTCCTTGCCCTGAGCCCCGTGCCGCACCCTGCACACCTCCTGCACTCCCTGCCCTGAGCCCCCACCGCACTCCTCACCCCTCCTGCACCCCACACCCCAATTCCCTGCCATACCCTGCACACCCCCTGCACCTCAACTCCCTGCCCTGAGCCCCCACCACACCCCGCACCCTTCCTGCACCCCCTGGGAGGGGGCAGAGCTGGGGTGAGGACTTAGGGGAAGGGGTTGGAATGGGGGCGGGGAAGGGGTGGGAAGAGGCAAGGCAGGGGCAGGGCCTCATGGAAGGGGTGGAGTGGGGGCGGGGCCAGGGGCAGCAAGTGGGGGGTGTCAGTGATGCGGCCCTCGGGCCAATGCACTAGTCCTCATGCAGCCCTCGGGGTCATCTGAGTTTGAGACCCCTGCTCTAAACCATCTTGCAATGTCCTCGATCTTGGGAAAGGATAAAGATCAAACTGGTGCCTGGCACAAATTAGAGCAGCCAATTCCTGGTTTGATTCAGTACCATCACTAACTTCTACAGCAGGGATCAGCAACCTTTGGCATGCGGTCCATCAGGGAAATCCGCTGGCGGGTCGGGACGGTTTGTTTACCTGCAGCGTCCGCAGGTTTGGCCAATCACAGCTCCCACTGGCCGTGGTTTACTGTTCCAGACCAATGGCGGCTGTGGGAAGTGGTGGCCAGCACATCCTCGGCCCACGCCGCTTTCTGCAGCCCCCATTGGCCTGGAACGGCGAACTGTGGCCAGTGGGAGCTGCGATTGGCCGAACCTGCGGACGCTGCAGGTAAACAAACCATCCCGGCCCGCCAGCGGATTTCCCTGATGGGCCACGTGCCAAAGGTTGCCAATCCCTGTTCTACAGCCTTCATTTAAAGATCTGCAGTTCATTAACATGCATTGTTAAAGTTTTCAGAGAGATTGATAGCCACAACAGCTAGCGCATGATAACATTTCAGTAAGGCACACTGGCATTTTAAACCAGTGTGGATTTGTGAGCTGGGGCCCAAAATGCAGGCCACACCCTGTAGGCTACCCTGTGATGCCACTTGACCAATAGTCCAGGTCTGCCAAAAGGGGAGCTCTCACTGGGCAACAAATTAATGGGAACAAATTAGTGTGAGTAAACTAAATCATCATTCACCAAGTCATCTATTTATTTTCTTTGTCAGCATACCAAGCATCTCAAATATCATGTCATTGCTCTCAGACTGAACAAACTATTGACAAAGTCAATATAGGTTTAGAAATCTGCAGAGGCTGTTTATGGATTAAAAGGTTTAAATATATGATTCATTTATTATGCAGGGTAACTCTCTGAATACGCCAAATAACCTGACAGAGAATGAAAATTGCAGATTTTCTGTATCTTTGCTGCGTGTCATCTTTATTTTATGTTTTGATATTTTTGTAGTTTTGGGGCTTGTGCATCAGGCTGTATAAACATTGGGAAGGAATCCACATTAATCATAAATCAGTTGCCTAATTCTAGTGATTTTGAACACCACCATCAAAAATCTAATCTTCTATCTCCAAAAACCAAATATCAAAAACATAAATACCTTTCATCCAACATTAAAGCTAACATCTTTTCAAATATTCAGTGCAATTTGCAAATGCAGCCACAATGGATGAGAAACAGAGCAATTAGACAGGCAAATTAACCTTTAAAAACATGTATTTAAGAATCTCTGTTAAATCCACCTTTAACTCCAAGCTTTCATCCACATTTGATGGCTTCACTCCCCTCTCACGCTGAAGTCTATCTCACCAGTATTCAAACCTGGCTCACATTTCTGTTGCTTCCCCAGCACCTTTTCCCACATAGCTGAGTGCCTCTGAAGAAAATCTTGACTTGCTGAACTATCATTTTTTCTTCTCTTACTACAGCTCTGTTATCTGCCGTGTTCAAGCAGCTGCTTCTCCTTGATTGACTCCTTTGCTTAAGACCTCAGTGTCTCTTCTCTGTATTTGAATGTCCTCACAGTGTTTCTCCCCCATCTCTCTCTCTCCCTGAAATCTCACCAGTTACTTTAGAAAAAGAGAGACAAGATGAGTGAGGTAATATCTTTTATTGGACCAACTTAGGACCAACTTAAGAAAACTTCAGAGAAAGAGACATTTGTAATACATCTTTCACCACATGCCTCCATGCACACACAGAGACATACACAAAGCCCTTAAATTATAACAATGCAGATTCTGAGCCACATTCACTGGTATACCCTGGTGGTGAAAAGCAGTGGTAAATTCCAGTTAACTAGCCACTTGAAGATTGGAATGTTTGGTAGCCCAAATCTGCCATAGCACTTTTTATGTCACCTCCCTTTCTGTCCAATTCAGGGTCCATAGTTGGGGGAAAGGGAGAACTATTGGGTCATCCCTTTGTCTAGCTCATCCCTGACTATTGAAATGGCCCAGTGGAGCTATGGCCAGCCAACACGAGACAGAATAACCTTACAGCTGCTCTAACTTACGTGAAGGAGAGGACTGGCAGGAGTGGAATAGTGGGAACATACGGGTGGCTTAAGACCACCTCTAACTCCCACATATAGGCACCTCTTCTGCAGTTCCTCAAGAATGGAAACTCTGGGCCTTTATCTCTGAATATATCTTTCAATCTGTATCACTGTTAACTTTGATAATAGCTAGTGCTAAATAATATTCAAAGGTCAATTTAAATGTTTTATGTAATTTACATCAAGCAGTGCTATAATTGTAAGCATCTATTGTAAATTAGAGCACAGATGAAACATAACATTTGCTGGCTCTTGTGCAATCATTTTATGTGACAGTATTATGCATTATGATGGCGAAAAGAAATGTTACCATGTTCTACACTTCAGAAATGCAGATATAACTAATAATGACTGTGCTTCTCAATGAGTTAAATGATAATCATATTCTGAGACTTCTGTGGCTTAAATATGGTAGTTCAAATGACCTCAACTTTCACCTTTCTTTAATCCAAGTAATTTAAAACAATTTGCAAGGGTTACCACAGGGCGGCATTAGTCAGGACTGCCATATTTTACTACATTTATCAATTTATAGATGAGCTTTTCTAGAGAACTAATCATTACACAGAATTAGTTTACTTCAAGAACCTCAGTTTTAACAACAGGCTGTTCATTGAATTCCAAAGATGTTATGGAATTAAGCTGTCCTCAGAGGTACCTAGCAGGGAATTAATTTATGCACCACAAAAAAATGAGGTACACTTTGGAGACTGAATATCTGCTTATTCACTAAATATGCAAGTGGTGTACAAGGCCAGAGGTACGCGCAAAATCACTGATACAAGTGGCAATGTCCTAGTCTATTGTCAAGTACTATTCATTCTTGTATGCAAGAAGGCATACATTGTTTCCTAAGAATGTCTTGGAGTGCCCCAAGTTAAAGGTAATGTATCATTTTATTTTATTTTATTGTTATGCCAAATCTTTAAGTCCTTACTCAGGTTTTAATCTGCATTTGACTACACAGATCACTGAAATGTTTGTGTCTGCGTGAGTCTGGTCTTGCCTCTCTAGCCATTGTCCAGCCCTTGACCCTGGAGGCTGATTGAAAACAATCCCAGGCAGTCAGATTTTGCTCAAGGTCATGGGTTAGTGCTGCCATCTGAACCAGCCAGCTACAAATCTATGGGGCTTCTGCTCCCATCCATACTTCTCCATTGTCCTCAATGGGCACATTCAGGCACAGTCCCTGCCCATCTTTGAAGAAGCTGCAAACCCTGCACCACCAATATCCCCCGCCCCCATCACAATGGTTTCATTTGTCTCAGGACCTTCTGGCTGCTTTTTCCCATGCAAATATACACTTCAAGCATTAGTATGGTAGAAAATAACATTAGTAAATGTTATGTCATATTACGGACCTTAATCTTGTTTGGAAAGTGCTGAGGTTCATTTCTCTCCTTGTAAATAGTAGAAAAATTTGCATAGCAAACTTGCAGTCCTTATTTCTTTTGCCCTGGATAGATTGAGGACCTACCACTATTTCTAGCTTAAACAGATTTACTTTAGCACAATGCATATTTGCTCTTAAAAGATAAAGAAAGATGCTTGTCTAAATTTAGAGTATGGGAAGCCAAACTTACCAGCAGCTCCATTCAACCTTCCTTTTTTCACTATTAAAAATAAAAACAGAAATACATGTAACTATATTAATTCCTATAATACTTTTAGAAGATTCTTAGCTGTAAATATTCTTTTAAAAACTAAGAAATTTCAGTCTCTTAAAAAATTATTCATCATTTAAATATGCAAATGAGCTCTATATCAAAGTAGTATCTGTATTAATATATCATAATATAAGATAAATTACATAATCAGAGCAATCTTGTATCACAATATTGTCCAAATTTTTGTCAAGAGGATAAGATCTCTAAATATCTTGAGGAAAGATAAAAAAAATTGTCTTAAGTAAATACCTGGTATATAAATACAACATAACAAGCATTGATTTAATGACATAATAAACTATGCTAAACAACTGACTTTAGTAATAATTTATTTCAAACACCACTAGCCTTTGAAAGATCCATACACCTTACTGGCTCTGGAGCTAAAATTTTAACTGGAAGTCATGAAATGCCGTGTTAGGTTTTCCATAGCAGCATAAAGATTACACTGCCTACTTCTTTTCCAATTACCATCTATGACAACTACTGTATGTCAGGGGAACTCAGCAGAGCAGCATGGTGGTGAGCTCTCATTGGCATACCAATAATGATACTGGCTGAGATTGACTGAAGGCCATTGGAGGGTGTAAATACGAGGATGAATCCCCACCCCCAAATAGGATGGTTGCGTACAATCCTATGGAGTTAAGAATCAACATTTGGGCCACTAAGATTTTATAAAAATGCTGCTGTGCTTTCTTTTAAAATAAATTAGATATTTTAATAGGGTGTCGTTTACAGCATGACATTTTTAGAAACAACTCATATGTGGCAAAGCCACACTGCTGTGAAATTAATAAAACTCCAAGGATTTATTTCTCATTACAGCTAAAAATAGGCACCATTTCAGCGAGAATAGCTTGTGACATGAACAGAAGCCAAAATTGCTTGGCTACCGCTGTATGTGTTACATTTATTGTTCATAAACATCATATATGGGTCTGAGCCGGAGTCAAGCCAGGATCCAGGGTTCAAGCCCTATTGCTTTGCAATGTAGATGTAGCCCCACTTGGACTCTTCCTCTGGGAGTTTGCCAATAGTATCCCATAATCCTACAGGCTGAATTTCTTTGTTATCTGGATAGTCAAGTTTTCCCACGCTGTACCATGAGCAAAGCGCTAAAGCAGCAACATTTTGGGAGGGCATTAGGAAGTCTTGGATATGGGTGGTTGGACTTGGGCCTGCATAAAGTAGTATAGACACTGGAGCCCCAGTTTGGGACCCAGTGTTCAACAATTCTTAGCCTGAGGGTATAAACACATGTAGACACTCAAGCCCTAAATTAACAGGCCAGGATTCTACTAACCCTGGGCTTACATTGCAGTGTAGACCTACCCAAAGTGAGACTTACCCAAGGCTACACAGTCTCTGGGGCATAGCATGGAATTGAACCTAGGTTTCTCAAGTCCCAGGATAGCATCCTAACCATTAGACTATCTTTCTGATAAATGCAATAGGACTTATTAATCACTACAGGGGATGGTACCTCCAGCATCACTGGCCATGTTTCTACCAGGTTGAGTTCTGATTTTGTCAAAACCGGTCTACACTGGGGACAGGGGGTCGATGTAAGATACGCAACTTCAGCTACGGGAATAGCATAGCTGAAGTCGACGTATCTTATTTTGACTTACCTCCCGTCCTCACGGCGCGGGATCGACGGCCGCGGCTCCCCCGTCGACTAGATGAGAGGCGATATATCGATCCCCAATAGATCGATCGCTACCCGCCGATCCAGCGGGTAGTCTGGACATACCCCAAGAGAGAGCGCAGATTTTAGTAGCCTATAAACTGAGGCATTGGCTGTAAGGACCACCCTCCTTACTGGCCACACCATTCCAAAGCTACTTATTGTTACTACAGGAAACTTTCTCTTATGAAAAGTGACTGTGTACAGAAAGAATTGTAGTATTCCATGCTGATTCTCTCCCAAATATTTCTAGATCAAGTGTGCTTGGTTTACAAGTAAAAAGATGAGGGGTGGGGGTTGTCTGGCTGCCACCTTCACATACTTGATAATTCTGTTGATGATGCACAAAGATAAATAGCATCTATCTCATTCAGTTCCTAGCTCTGATGCCTTAGCAGTGGTATTAGGAGCAAAAAGCAGGAACCTGATTTCTGTCAATAATGTAAGCAGGTATGATAGAAGCCCATAAGGACCAAGTCTGTGGAGAATAAAGTGTATGTTTACATGTTAAAGGGCGTACAGGCTAGAAAGAGTCAAGATTTTTTTCCAGGATTGTCTTCCCCACCCATCAGTTAATTGCATTGGCAAGATGCCATGTTTGTAATATGCATAAGGATACACAAGGCTGTTACATACTCCTCCCTAAGTCTCTGGATCAATATTTCGTTTTTGTGAGGAGGTGGAATTAAAAATGAGTATGGTCTGGAAACAGAGACAGAAGGTGAAATTTCTCTGAAGTTAGAGTGCAGACTGAAGGGAGACAAATGCCATGAAACTTGAATGACTCTGTGTCAGAAAGGATGAGAAGCTGAAACAAGAGCTGTAAGATTCCATTAGCATTTAATGCTTCCTGTCTCTGCAGTTGAAAAAGAAGACTGTATTCCAAAGACATGCAAATTCTCCCTCCTCAGAGTCCCATCGCAAGAAGAAACATTACTATGGTCAGGGAA